GTTTGCCTTATTTATAAAAGCTTAATGTTACTCTGAAGGTGTCGCATAAGGTGATTACAAAGTTTCTTTTTGACAAGGGGGGTATCAGGTAGCTCTTTGATGCCTTGGGCTGGATTTCTTTTTAAATCTAGGTGCTGTTGTGCCAAATCCCCCAGATGACTGACATTTTGGATGTATGCGTTTGTATTTCTCCTGTCAAGTTAGTAACTGTATGTAGGTAAACCAAAAACCATTCTATTATTTAGAATATTTTTTAGGAAAAATATCTGTTACAGGTACACAGGTTTAAATCCCTAGGCCTGAGGGATCATATATTGAACTTCATAAAACAAAAACTAAGTCTCCTGTAATGTTGCTCTTTTTCTTCAAGGTTCAGTACCACCAGTTAAAAGTTTTTTCTCTTGCACTCCTGAAACAACATATACAGGGATAGTTCTGCAGATCACTGAAGTGTAGCAAGAAGCTTTGTTCCTCCTTGTCTTTGGAAAGACAGAAAGACAAGACAGTGGGTGGAAAAAAAGAACAGGGACTGTCATTGCTAAAGCATCATAAAGACAGAGCTCCATAGATGCAGTCACCCCATTACCTCAACGTCTTCGCAGCATGGTCCTGTCCAGAATGATGGTATGACCAGGCCACAAAGTGACTGGTGTCCAGCCAGCCCTCTTGAGAGAGCAGAGGTCCTTGGTGAAGTGCAGAAATCAAGTGTTCGGGGATGGGTTCCTTCAGAGGTTGCTGACATTTTCAATTGACCTTTGTATCTAAGAAATGGCAGTGTTACTGATGCCTGACCAGACTAGCCCTGCCTGCTTTTATTGTCCTGATTTTTTTCCCCCATGAATAAATCAGAACCATTTTTCCCTTTTCAGAGTGTATATTTTATTAGTGAGCACTTGACAGAAATCCATATGTTTGTGTTTGTGGTCCAGGAGATAAATGAATGGATCAAAGAGAAAATCCATAGCTTTTCCTCTTTAACTTATAAAGGCAGCACAGGTCTTGATAAACAGGCTATTATTATGGCAATATGTGTTTGCCACCTTTGTGAATCAAAGTTGTGCAGAACCACCTTTATTGTATGTAGTTTTTTTTCACATAACGGCTCTCAGTTCTTTTAAAGTGCTTTCAAGTAAAATATTCATGTGTTATAATGACAGACATGGAAAGATTAGGATTTGTTTTATTTTGAAGAAATGTAAAAAGAAGGAAAACTAGAAAACTACACTGTACCCAAATGCCAGGCCACAGCAGCAATCCCTTGGTGTCTTAGATTAAAGGAAATTATAAATTACCAAGAATCGAGTCTGTGTCTCTAGCAGTGTCTCTAGCAGGTGGGTTTTTCCAGTGTGATCCCAGATATTTTTTGCCATGTTACGGGTGGAGATCTGTGACCACTCTAAAGTGATCCCCAGAGGCACTGAGAAGGTCACATAAGGTCAAATTCCACAGAAGCCCAGATGGAGAACTTCAGAGTGCTCTTCCCTGACCCGAGCTGCGGCAGTAGCTCTCTCTCAGCCTGCTGTGATGGCCAAACAAGAATGGTGTCTGTGGGGCCTTTGGACTTGTGTGGTTTAGTTCATGAGTTCATGTGTGGGAAAACTGGGGGGATCTGTTCTGATACGAGAGTTCCATGCCGAGGGCTTGGAGTCTCTTGAAATCTGCAACCTGTTTTCCGTATGCACCCCCGCCAACTCCCCCACCCCTCTGTATCTTTGTTGTTGAACCAGATCTGTAGCCATATGTTGCTTTTTTCCATCCCCACAGACAGTTGGTGTCAATATAGCAGAAGTGTGGGGGCGACCAATCTCTGTAACCAGACTCCCTTTGACCTCTTTCCTCCAGAGTTTCTTCAAAGACGGCCCACAGTCCATTGTCAGTTTTATTTTTCTGGGGGGGAAACTACGGTTTTCAGTATCCACAGTAGTCCCCTGTCAGTGCAGATTTGCCATTACAGCATATGGTGCCCACCTGTCTGCTGTTCTGAGCTGCACCAGGCTGCAACCTCAACACCACCCCTCCAGCTAAAAATGCCTTTTCATTGCTTCATAATCAGCCGGCCATTAGAGCTGCGGTGCCTGATAAAGCCACTGTGTCCCTGGTCTATAGTAGGTTTATAGCACAAATTCTAAAGAATCATTCTCCTGGGCTTATGATCGCAGTTGGATCTATGAATGAAGGAGTCAAAGGAGAACCTCTGAGGTTATTGTGCTGTCAACAGGTTTCTTAAAAAGCAGCCCTACACACATTTTCACCAAGAACAGTTCTTAGATGTTGCTACTGTTCTGTGCTGGGCATGAGAAGATAAATTTACCCTTTTTTCTTAATGGATCTTGTACTGAAACTCATTCCTTCCTTCAGTCCCCCACCTACGCTTTCCCCTGCGCCAGCCTTCTCGAAGAAAAACTGTACGTCAGCCATTTTTCTAACACAAGCTTTGAAACCTCAATGCAGAGAAGGAGCAAGCCCCCCTCTCCACCCCCAGCTTTCCAACCTTATGAATTAAAAAATGCACTGTTATTAAAGGCAATGTCAGGAGTGTTGATTTACAGACGCACTGATGACAAGTGCGGAGAACTCACACACTGCGCGCCGGCCGCCAAGCTGGGCTCTGACCTCCTCGACCTCCCTTCCCCTTTCTCCCTGCCTGCTCCGCTCTGTAATAAAACCTGTCTAACACACCAGCACAATGGCCCCGTTGTTCAGCGCTGGCTACAGCATTCATGATGATTTCTTTAAAGGTGCAGCACACTCTAATAAATACCACCACGGGGTGACCATATGATGCTAATTTTCCTTAAGGGGTAAATTGGGAGATGGCGAGTGAATGACATGTTCCCTTTAGTTATTTGCCTTGATTGGAACTTTGTGGAGACATATAGGTTATAAACTGACTGTGCACATGCCTGTTTACCATGAATGTGCCGAGGTACTGTGGCAGCACGTGTTGTCCCAGTTGTAGAAGTTCTGATCTGTTAGAGAACCTGTGTGGTTTAAGGGTTCATGGTTGAGTTCTGTTCTGCTCCACTGACACTGGGTTGGCACCCCAAACCATTAAGTTCTCCAGGAAACAAGGCCAGAGGTCCTCTAAGATTACCTCTGCGTAACCTACATACTGGTGTGCCACAAAGTAGCCAGAGTTTAAAGCTGAACCTTCAGTTATCCCTAAAGCAGTGGGGAAATAGGTTTCCATAAACTCACCTCTCACTAGTGGTTAGAACTGCGCTTTTTAAGGTAGATTTTTTTTTCTCTTGGTTTGTTCCTTATTCATGATGTCTATATTAGAATGATTATCATACCTGCAGTGTTTGAAGTTATTTAGTGCAATTTAAATAAAAGGTGTTCCGTCGCATTAATAGTAGTATTTATTTTGCCCATAAAAGAGATTTTAATAAAGCAGTAATCAGTGCTGTAATTTATACAGAATTGTCCCTTATTGCTAACAGACATGGCTGATGCACGCTGCGCGGAGTACGCCAGTAATTCACACCATATGGTGAGATGGGTCTCGGAGTTTGGCTGGAGGCGATTGTGGTCGTTTTAAGTTATGTATTCCACAACTGGTTTTGGACTTGTATGGCAGCGAGAGGAAGAGAGAGGGTGAGGGGGTTGGGGGGTGGTGGACATGCAGGTTGGTGGTGGACTTTTTTAATGCGCTCAGCAAAAGCAGCAAGTGTTTCAGCTGGTTTTCATCATTTCGGCAAGGAATTTGACTGCATACGCCCCAGTTTCCCTTTTGAAAGAGCAGGAGGTGGGCTTTTACAGTGTCACCGCATCATTTGTTAAGGGGCCTCGAGCTCTTCGAGCTGGGTACCCTAACAATTCTAAACTGGTTTGAATCCTTGTAAGAAACATTGTTTCAAATCTGTTTTTTATGAAAGTTTTATCTATGATTTTATGCTAGGGCTGTTTTCACATCCTTGTGGCTAGTTGAAACCCATTGGCCCTTTGTTGGTTGAAATGTTTAGCACCTTATGTTTCGTTTTTTAAGAATAACTCACTTGCACCTTGTTGTGTGGTATTTACAAGCAGAAGAGGATTCATTGCAGTGGACAGTTGCCTTTATTAATGTTTCTAAGCAGGCATATGAGGACATGAATCAATAATTTATATTGTGCTCTCAAAACATGGGTGGCTTGAACAAGCCTTCTTAATCCAGTTTGTTTTTCCAAAGGCTAAAACCACTAACAGCCATTGTCAAAGTGTTGTTTTGCAATATTTGTGGTGCAGTTTTTTTCTTTGTTGGCTTTAATGTCAGTTTTCTAAGGGGCTTCTTCTCATAATCAATATTTACATTGTAACTTGATAACTTGCTGCTTCTCATAGTTCAGGAAGCAAATGTGTGTCCTGGTGGAGTTTTTATAAACCACCTCACAGTTCACATTGATTTATTAGGTCTTGTGTTTTGTTACGAAAAGCATGTTTTTTCTGCTGGGCCAAGGCCCTGCGCTTGGACTGAAGTATGTTAAACAAAAACAGGAGCCTGGAATGCCCGGTCAACAAAGTTTTCAAAATGTTTTTATTTCAAACATTCACAGTAGTCCGGATTTATAATTTTGAAAAAGTATCCCTTTGTTAGTTGTATGCATGGGAAGGTAAAGCCTGGTAGCTGAGGAGGTAAGGGGCTCTTTCATAATATTTAGCAACCTGCAATATTCATGAGATTGATTTAGGATGTTGTCATTCAAAAACTGCTTATTTTGGAAAAATGTGGATGGTTCCACTTGGTTCACTGTTTTGCTTGTGAGTTTGTGGGGGGAACACCGGAGTGGGGTGGGGTTTGGGGCTCAAAAGAGACAGGCAGGAGGTGCCTATTCACTGTAGTCCCCTTGTGCTATAATGCTGTAATGGTTGTGTTTTTTGGCAACATGCTGTAAAAGGATTGGTCCAAGAAAGATTTTAAGGAATTCGGACCTTTCCCAATTGGAAGTGCCATTCCTGATTCTTTAACTGGGAAGTCCTACTCATGGTCTCCATTTTCTTCCCTTTTCCTTTCTTTCCAGGCCCTTCAAGCGGCACGGCAGTTTCTTCTCCAGCAGGCAACTGGACTGAATTCTCCCAGCAGCAACGAGGCGAAACAGCCGCCTGTGCAGGTGAGATCGGCAATGTGGTCCAAGCAGCTCCCATCCCAAAGAGCCCTCTTGTCTGATTCAACAAGACAGGGTCTTCTCTCCAAAACACAGACTCTTTGATTTCGGTTATCTTTATCAGCTTGTTGAGCTAATCTTCTGCTGTCTGGTGTCAAGCATAGTTCCTACCCTCCCTTCATTAAAACCATTTAATGTCTGTGGCAGCAAACACTGCGAACTCGTATCTTAGAAAAAACAAAAGACAGCCTCTTTCTGAACTGATTAAAGGTATACCTTGTCTTTTAAAAAATGTTTTCATTCATGACTAAAAACGTAAGAACAGTTGTTTAGATATTTTTTCGGCTGTAGTCTTATGTAGTGATGAAGCACTGCAGGATAGAAAAAATACACAGGAAATGAATGAGTGCATTTCAGTTTCACTCTACCACCAAGACAATTGTAGTTTCTTTCGTTGCTTCACAGCTGCAATTCCGGTTACTGAAAATTTGTCCTTAAACCCTCGAAGGATAGGTTTTATATATTGCTCCATTATGGGTACTGCCTAAATTTAATTTTAGAAAATTCTACAACTTTGCCCATTGAATTTTAAGGGCTGCCCTCAGTCTGTCAAAACTAGTTTCCATCTCCGAGCGTGTTGAGAGGTAATGGAGACGTGAATGCACTTCTTTGTGTACCGAAGGCCCCACAGCCTCTTAAAGCCACACAATTCTCCATCAGGCCTGAGGTTTACTGGAGAGCTGGATTCCTCATTTTTTTGGTGAGGACCCCACCCCCTGCTCCGAGTCAAGGGACTCTCCACAGACCTGTTTGAAAAGTAGCCTGGCTGGGAAACCCATGTGCATGACACACAAGCGCACACAATCCATCAACTTCTGAACTGCTGCCCACACGCAACTCCCTGTTTTAAAACAGGGAAGAGCCTGAGCACTAGCCAGTAAGTGTAAAATTTCACAAGCCCAAAAAAAGACATGAAAAAGGGGCAACGCTGTTACTGGCTACTCGGAGCCCAATGGCTGCGCTGGAAGAACACATTAAATTCTTCTGCAAATAAGCACCACTTCCTTGAGAAAAAGAATTTGCACAAACATATTAGAACTCATCCAGGCACCAGGGGCAGACCTATTCAAGGAATGTGACTAGGCACAAAAGCCCTTTTTCTCCAATTCTCTGCTTGTGAGGAGAGCTAGAGACTGATGTTTATCAGCAGGTTAATGATTATAGTTTCACAGTAGTGAGAAAACAAAAAAAAAAACTAGACTGAAGTAGAGGATCACAGAAACCTGAAAGGTCTTCACAGTATTATTAAGTTCTTATTGGATGAAACAGATCAGCTGTATTTGCAATCATTTTAATTCATGGATTAAATTACTTTTATGATGAGCTCTTTTTGGTTATGGGCTCAATTTGTCTTTTTCTTTCATCAGAGTATTGGATCTGCTTTTTTATCTTTTTTTTCTTGTGTCTAGTACTTTTCATGTCTGAAAATCCCTTTCAAGTTTGCAAAACTTTTTAAATCCTTCCCAGATAATGTCTGTTGGTAGCCTGTTGTGTCCTGTGTGAGGAATAATAAAAAATACTAATACTAATACTAATACTAATACTACTGGCATATACTAATAATACTGGCACTGTGTTATTCCAGCCCAACATATGTGTTCAGGATTCATTAATAATAAAAGACTTGAGCAGGGCTACCTTCTTTCCACCTGTACCTGTACCCTGGTTGAGTCAAAAAGACAGCTTGAACAGAACAGAGCTCAATCCCTGTGTAGTTTGATGAAAGAGGGGTGAATCAAACATTACATTTTTTAAGAGGATACGGCAGAAATCCGGCATTGACATCCTCACATTTTTTATGTCAACCCACCTCGTCGTTCAGAGTGCAGTTTTGTCAGTCATCGTGTTCTTAATGCACTGGAGTGTGCATGGAGAAAAAAAGCAGTGTAGCTCTAGTGAGTTTTTTTATAATTCTGATGTCTCCAGTTTCAGGCGCTCTATTGTGTGCCAACTGGAGAAGAGAAGAAGAGAAGGGGGAAAATTCCTGAGTTTTTATAATCATCAATAATAAACGGGAGAATGTGGGCTGACAGTTTAAATGGCCGTGTTGAGAGGTTTTCCCTTTAGGGTAATTAACATTATCAAGGAACAGCAGGTTACCTCGTTAGTGCCACGTTCATTTAATTAACAAACCACACTAATTAGATTGAACTCTGGGCTGGAGGTTTCTTCGACAGGCTTGTCAAGCAAAAAAGAAGGGGGATCTTTTTTTAAAAAAAAGTTGCAAAATCCCCTTGCATTTCTTTTTTGATGGAATGCAGGGTGTAAATGCAGTATTGTTATGGTCCTTCCTGAGCAATACACATAAAAAAAGTTTATTTTCAAAAATCTGTGCCAGAGTATTAGGGCGTAACTGGCAGGTTTTAACCCAGTCAATAAAGGATAATGATGGTATTAGAGAAGGTTAGCCTAGAGCGAGCACAGCCCTCTGTTTTCTGGTTAACATGCGCTGCTTTCAGATTGGGACCTGTTTTTTTTAATGTGGTGTCAGCAAAAAAAAAATCCAGACGTTTCCTGCCAATCAGCGATGTTACAATTATGGGTGTAGGTCACTGGAAGCTCGCAGTCGGGTTATGCCTTCTGAGCTCATCTGTGACTTCAGACGATGCAATCACAGAATCCCTGCCCTGATGAAAGGTGTTCATTGCAGTCTTTAGCTTTCCTGAGTGTAATGCTGGAGATCACACAGAGAGCTGCTTAGGAGGAAAGGTTTCTTTTCAGGTTTCTAGAACTTTTTCCAGTCATGTAGCTGGATCGCGCCTCCTCTCCTCTTTTGTAACCCTTTCTGCGTTAAGTACGCTGGAACAGGGCATATCTGTGCTGGATGATGCTTCAGAAAAAGATGCTTTTCCCACAGTGGGTAGTTTTTCATGCAGTGAAGTTCAATGAAAACGCTTTCCGCCGAGCCGTCCCCAGCCCTGCCTTCTAAAAGCGTAGCTCATCTGTTTGAACTCGAAGCCTCTCTGGTTGGAGGAATTTGCTGGGAAAACGAGTAGCATGCCTGGACTTCACACCCAGGCAGTGCATGGCGGACCCAGCATGCTAATGAGGTAACGGAAAGAGTCTCCTGCTTTGTAGTGTCAGAGTGCTCATCCATAGCCCTGGGGCAACCTTTCCTGCTGGCTCTTGCTAGCTTCCCCCACCTCTGTTCTTCATCCCTGGGTTTGGGCAGCTCAGGATCTGAATTCACCACTGGTTTCTTTTCTTTCTTTGGCTGAATAGTCCAACTTTTGTGAAGAACTGGCTTTGTCACTGTTTTTGTTTTTACTTTTACATTTCTTTTACTGTTTTTTTTGTGGATTGTTACTTCAGCTTTTGTAAAGCTCTGGACTTTTAATTTAAAAACAAAGTAAAGCAAACACATAAACAGCTTATCAGACTTAAGCACTTAACAGTGGGAACAATGGTAAAACTTAGAGAAGGAGAAGGTATGAAAGGTTACAATTGGAAGGCGGCCCATCTGGCTTGTTTGGAGCCTCATGGAGGAGAACGTGAGGAAACCAGCTGGGACTTTCTAAAAAGCAAACAAATGGAAAAACAAACGTTTACCTTGAATGCCCTTTTCTTTTTCCCCTGTAAAGGGAAAAATAACGGAATGAGAGGTTGTGTTTGGCATTGGCGTTGGCTATTAGGTTTGGTATTTTATTTTAAGCTCAGGCTTTTTTTTAAAAAAAAGGCTAAAAATGGCATAAAACTGAAGAGCACTTTCAATTTCTCTTAAACAGTGCCTTGAGGAATGTCACTTGTATTGTAATGGTAACTGGGTTCAAGTCTGTGCTTCTGATAGCAGGAAAATGTGTACAGCTCTTAGAATAAATCATTGCTTTACTGTCAGCACAAGGTACCTGCACGTAGAGTGGTCTCCAGTTGAACGGCGGCTATTTTTTTAAGAGGCCCTTGTTTTTTTGAAAAGCTTTTTGTTTTGTTTATTTTTTTAAAAAGGCCTTCATTTTATTAGTGGAGCACCTTTTTAAAACTGTAATACTAGCAGTTCATCCAGGGTCACATTTTATATGCTACTGGAAAATAGCGCTTCTACTGCTGGGTCTGCCAGAGACGGATCGGCAGACAGGCGGGCAGCTGGAGAGCTCCTGGTCCCGAGTGGCTGCAGTCGCTCAGTGTCAGCAGGGCTTTGTCTGTTCTGTGCGTCGCCGTACAGCAAACGCATTCTTCTTCCTGCGCTCCTCCTCCTTACATTCTGTGTTGGAGAGGCTTTCAGAAATGCAAATGAGGCCGAACACATAATGAAATCTTTCGGAGGCCATTAATTAGGTTCTTCCTCGTTCAGCGGTGGCAGTCCTAGGCGCCCCCCCTCCCCAAGCAGCCCTGAGCGTTGGCAGTGATGGAGACGTGGGCTGTGCTTGTGGTGGCTCATCCTTAACCGCAGTCTATTCTCCAATGGATGCCAACTTGTTGAAAACCTAGGATTTCCTGGCCCTAGAGCTACAGCAAATCCTGCAACAAGCTAGATAGCTCTGAGTGATGACACACGACTGCCACACCAAAGCCTCTCTGTAGCTAGATAGACCCAAGAAAGTTTCCGTACACTAATGGGGGTTCCCTCCTGAAAGCTGTTTTTCATTTTGACCATGAATTCCATTGGCATAATGACTACAGTATTGCCTTGTTCTGTAAAATGAGTTCTCAACTGAGGGGACTCCTCTTTTAAGAAACCTAAATAAAAACATAAAATGAATTGAAATCTGCCGTTGTTCTTAATTTGGTGCTGTTTGGTGTGAAACAATTTGAAAGCCCAATTTCGGGTGAAACACACTGTCAGAGCAGATCCACTGGTGATCTCCCATGCACTTAGAATTGGGGGTTTTAGGGGACAGCCGCCACCCTCATCTGGACAGTGGGGCCTCACAGGGATTCCCAAAGCCTCTCTGAAGAACCACTAAAATTCAGACTGGGCAGGCTTTATCTTCACCATCCTGTTTAACCCT